TAAAATATAAATCGATCAAACCCCTGCTTTGATTTACTTATTTTATAAATAACATAATTACAAGAAATTTTAATAATGACAAAAACCTTAAGCATAATATAATAATAATAATAAAAATAATATTTTTTGAGTCTCAATTAAGGTTAGGGTTTCGAATCCATCGTTGAAGAATTAATATCAATTATTCTTTTTTTGTTATTGGCTGTTGTAAATTAACATTAGTAAGTGAACTAGTACATTAGGCATGGTTAGTGCATGTCTGTAGAATTTCAGCTTTACAATAGCAGCCAGTGTGTTTTAAATATAAGATACATATTCATCATTGAGAAAAAAAAGATGCTGACTCTAAACGATTTAAAATTTTGCTGCATAGTGCAATGTGCATTTGCAGTGCATAGAAATTGCTTCGAAATTTATAACGAAGCAATAAGGCCAGAGCCAAAGACATTAATCTTGAGCCAACTGTCACGTGCTCTGGTGCCCGCCCTGGACGAAGCCATGACACGCCCCATTCGCAGCATACATACACACAAAAACACACACATACCTACCAACACCGAAACTCCAACACCGCAATTGCCACGCCCACTAGCAAATGTATTGTGTGCATTACGCTGTTGTCAATCAATCTTGAGCAAATTGATGGACAAGTTGCCGTTACTTATCTATGCGTATGGGTGTGAGTCGGTTTCTGTCTGTGTGTGTGCGTGTGTTGCCTGTCATGGGTGTGGATCACTCGCAGAATGACAGTTGCGCTCAAAAGTAGGCAACTAGTTTGAATGACTCGGAATACAAATGAATGCGGCTGAATGCTTGATTAATTTATGAAATATATTATTGTTTTTGTGTTCTTGCCAAAATGGTCAAAACACATTTTGATCATTTTTATTCAATTTTCGTTCCATGACAACTGCACCTTTTGCTCACATTTTTACAGGTCACGAGGAGCATGCGGCACGTGTGGCAAGCATCTCCTTGGGCATGGTCCTCCTGATTGTCATACCCACATTGCTGTTGCTCGTCTGTGGGGCAAATTATTGGATACGTGAACGAATTGCTAGGGAGGAGGCCGAGGCAGCCGCCGCATTGCTGCCGAAACGCCCCAAGCGACCGCCGCTGGGTAATGGAAATGGGATTGTGAACGGGAGCGGGAACAGGAACGGGAACGCAAATGAGAATGTGAATGGGAACGAGGAGATTTGATTAGCACGTTAATGAGCCATATAATACAAATCGTGTGATGGGATTTATCTCTGTAGTTGTGTCAGCTGCAAACTGGATTTATAAATTGATATTTAAGATTTATGAATTAAGTAAACGTTCAGTATTTATTCTTAGTTCACTTTTTAATGTGATAAAAACTAACAATTTAAATATATATTAAAATAAATAGATTGAGTAAGGAAACTTTATTTTGAATTACTTGCTATTTGATTAAGTGAATAATTTATTTTAGCTGCTTAAGCTTTGGAAACCAGTTTTCAATTTGAATCCATTGTAGTATTCATTCGCGATACTTGTGCTTTGATCTTGCTTCCAAACTAAGTTCGCCCGAATTTTTATACCCTGAACCCATTAAAAATAGGTATAAGGCTATATTGTATTTTTTCAAAGTCCAAACGTATGTAACAGGCAGAAGGAAGCATCTCCGACCCCATAAAGTATATATATTCTTGATCAGCATCAATAGCCGAGTCGATCTAGCCATATCCTTCTGTATGTCCGTCCGAAAAAATCGATATGGATATCCTGTTTTTTGAGCAATTTTGGTAAATAACAACAGCTAGAGTCCCCAAACTTGACATATAGCTTCTAAAATAGAATATATATGTGCATTTGATGTGAGTGCTCAGGGATCCCCTAGTCGGGAGCTCCCGACTAAAACCTCTTACTTGTTTGTTTGTTCCCTTGTACTGTTTCAGTTCAGCGTTAGATTCATGAGAAGCTTAGCTTGGACATATTTATGAGCTTTTCAACATATTCCAGCTATGAGATATCAACAAAAAAAATAAAACAATTTTACGTTCAGGGTTCAATTAGATATTTTATTTATGTATAGTTTCTGGTTACATATATATGTAGGTATATATTTTATATTGTAAGGTTTAACATATTTAACATTTACACATTACATAGAGCAAGACAGAGTCAGACAGAACGAGAGATTAACTTGGGACAGTGATTTTATTTCATCTTTACTTCCTAATTTACAATAATTATATTTCTTCAACTTTCATATGATCTCCCAATCGGGTCCCAAACTCTATATAAAACACTTGCAACAAACGAACAGCTCTATTCAATCTATAGTCCACATAATTTTTGTTTCTTACAGTTCTACCTTTCAGCCGAACAGTTAAGTATTTGATAGATGCATTTTTCATATCTTTTTCTTGTATATAATTATTTATATAGTTTTCCATAGGTGTGATTATACTGTTGCTAATATTTGATATCGTGTGATTATAATGCTTCGGGCTTATAGTTGGATTACTCTTTCATACTTTCAAATGTGATGGCTTAAGATCTATAAAGCTATTTTCAGTTTTAGGTATAGTACTCGTAGAGATTTTTCTTCATAACACATAAATATGTATTTTGCCAATAGATTTATTAAATGTACATCGAATTTCACAAGCAATATAGTTAGTATTATATTTATTTTACGGTTTTTGTTGAGTTGATTTTTATTTGCTCTGGGATTTACAATCAATTTCATTGTATGTTTGGTATTTTGGTACATATTTAGCATTTCTTTGATATTTGTTGTTGGTTATCATATTATTTTATTGTAAAAGATTTCCTCTTTGGTGCATTTAAGTTTGCTAAACTTTTTCTGTTTCTGGTCAAAAGCCCTGTAGAAGTTGTGCAATGCTGTTCTGTGAATTGTGAAATCGATTCAGCGTTAAGTAACCCCCGTCTATATCATCTAATATTCTAGTGCGTCTCTCTAGGTGCTTTTTTGTATACTTAAATATGTATGTATATGTAATTTGCTTAATCAAAGTCAAAAAACATTTGTGGATTAGAATATTTGCCTTACATGTTTTCCTCATAGATATTTTTACAGTTCTTCTTCTTTATATGAGTGGCTTTTGAAAGAAATTTCTTTTTTGTATAGTTAGTTAAATATGTATGAAAAGTTTCTACATAAATTACATCTATAGTACAAAGCACAAAAAGTTCAGCCTAAGAAACCATCACAAAGTAGAAAAATAAATATTAAATCGCATCTCGTTTTATACACACTCAAGAAGCCTCGACGAATACAAATATTTAAATCATTTCTCATTTTTATACAGTTGAAACATGCACACACACACACACACACACATATATATTATATATATTTATTTTTCATTAATTACTAATTACAACGTACGAGTAGTTATATTTAGCTTGGATTCCCTTGAATTTCCGATTCCTGGAAAAAGAGAACAGAAAGAAAGATATATAAAATGCTAATAAAGTGAATTTATCTAAAAAATCAAAATTTTATTTTGTGTACAAATGGAAAGTCCATAAAGTTTTTAGATCCGCCATAAATGCGGTTGAATATAAAATCAAAGCTCAAAGACAACAACTCCGATTGTTGACTTTTGTTTTTCATTTTTTTTTTTTTTTATTTTTATTTTTGTGCTCATTAAAAATGTGTTGAGTGGGAAAAGATAAAAATGTGCTTTGCTTGTAACAATAAGCCAAAGGCATGGCCAAGGCTAGGCTGAGCCAATAGACGTATTTATGCAGTGAACCCAGTTATTAGAAGAGCTGGAGTCCAAAAATGTAGTATTTTACCTTATTTTGTTTGAATAATTTCCCCCGATCGAAGAAATAAATATACGAGAAATTTACCATTCTTTTTTTGTCGCTATTTTAGGTTTGATAACAGGTCATCTGCTAGTCAAGCATGTATATTTTTTAGGTATTGCCTTTTTTGTTGCTTTCCAAGCGCTTACAATTCAATTTTAACCCTTTACGGCCAATTACGCTGCCAGCCGAGTCAGGCCAGGCCCGGCGCGGCCAGGTCACGCCTAACCGAGCCGGGCTACCAGTGTCAATGTCAAAGTTGAAACCTGACCGCAACGTGCCAACCTTTGGTTGTATGCCTCGTTGTTTATGCCAACTGTGTGCGGCAGGATAGGCCAAAAACAAACTACAAAGGCGCAAAACAACTTTTGATTGCCAAAAAAAAAAAACAGTCCAAACGCGGCATATACCGTTATCTTTATTTGCGTCTGTTCCAGCGTCAGCAATATAAAATTAAAAATTGCAATCACGTAATATTTCACTACGCACAGTAACGACAGCTCAAAGGTCTGCCAAGAGCGCGATTATTTATAAAGTTAGCTGAAGTCTTTTATAGGGTTTTATCATTCCCTTCCTGGGCTCTCTCGTGGCTAGAAGGAATAGGGGTAAATATCAAGAGGTGTTGTTATCTTATGTGACACGGAATTCTCATAAAACCTTCTGCGTACCTTTCCTAGTATCAATTAAAAAATTAAAAACTTCTCTGCGAGTCGGTTTACGGTTCCAACCAACTCCCTGCTCTAAGGTTCGGTTCGTGGTTCAATAATTAGTTTGTTATATGTTAACAAAGCTGGTCAAAGTTAAGGGTCCGCTTTTACATGGGTTCGAACCGGTTCGGTTCAAAACGAAACATATTCTACATATTCTAAAAAAAAGCCCAATGGATTAATATTTATAAGTATATTTGAGGTATGAGGTACACTTTTGGGCACACTGGCAAAAAGAGTAAGTTCTGTAGGTTGTAATAGAATTATTTAGAAAGATTTTTATTTAGTGTGAATTGTACAGAATATTCAAACAAATGCCATTTGCTTGTTTTGTAAAGAGACAGCACTGTGCAACCGCATATTGTTATTTAACTGTCAATTCTTTTAAACATTTGGCAACGCGAAAATATAAAATATTGTTAAAATATAAGACAAGGAAATTAACAAAGTTTTATGTTCGAGTCCCATTGGGTTAAGCAACGTCAACTCCAAATAAATTCAATATAACGTAAAAAACCTTTTAGTGTCTAGATATTTAGAGAAAAATGTTGGAAAATACTTAAATGCTTAAATGCAGCAACAGCATGACAATTGCTGGGATTGAAATTCGAAGGCGATTTGGGGGCGGGTACCAAGTGGCTCTGAGTGCTGATCGTAATTGCACATGCATGTAAATGGTAAGCCGTTGACAGGCGCACACACAATCACACCCAGACAGAGAGTGACACGCTAAGCAATTTAACAATTTTACAGACAATTAAACAACAACATGCTGCTCTCCGGTCCTGGTTCGGGGTCCTTGCGGACGGCATGTGTCCTTGGGGCCGAACTGTCATTCAATTGACTGGCCCGCTCTCCACTTGGCTTAAACGTACTTGCATCTACGGCTTGGCCCGCACATAAACTATCGATTAGTTGAATGGGCAAAAATAGCAGCCAAGTGGCTTGTGGCACTTCGGGGCGGACACAGCTGGCAAGTCGCTCTAGCTCAGCCCCGTTTCAGATGCTACACTGTATAACAAATTGAATTAAAATTGTAAATATCAGAACAAACACGCTCGCGCGAACTTTATGCGGCCCACAAATCAAATGCACGAGCCGAGCCCCTGTGACTGCATGCCAAATGTTGCGCATACGCTCCGTTGGCCGCCCAAAAGTGCTGAACTGGTCTGCCAAAGCCGTAAGCTGCTGTGCATGTTTTGCAAAAATGTGGCGTTAAAAGGATAACAAAGGCTGCCCTCTATGTTGCCGTTGCTGTTGATATTGATGTTAACTTTGGGGGCGTATTGCTTTATTTTTCACAGTTTTACAATTTTTCGTTTGTCTCTTTGCTTTTGAATTTTTTTTTTTTGCTGGTGTTCTCGATTTGTGGCCCTGAAACAAAAGCCAGAGCATAGAGATAATACATTTATTTTAAATCAATAATTTTTTTTTGCAATGTGATATTGGAAATTGCTTTGGATGGTTTACGCTTGAGAATAGAATGAAATGAAATATAATAGAATGGAATATAGTTGTACGGGTGGTTAAGCCTGTGTAGCTGTTGCTTTTGTGTTCTTCTGTTAGCAAATAATAAATATAACAAATAAGCTGTGTTACTCGGCGTTGCTCTGCGTAGACTGACAAACGAAAATTATCCACTAAAAATTGGTAGATTGATGTGGTGCATATACATAAGGTACATAGGGTAGACTCTTGGTCAACACGTCGAACTGATTCAACCCAGCCAAGTCCATTTATCCGTCCGTCCTTTTTGTACTTGGCTTTATTAGTTACTAGCCAAAATAACGAACATGTTGTTTAGCATAGCATGGTTCGAGAATTATAAGCGCAAAATACACCAAGCTTGTGTGCCCCCGTTTACACGAATTAATAATGCTTAACTTTTTCGATACCGCAACACATTTTCCAAAAAGTTTGAAAAGTTTGCTTGTAAAATTCAAACCTTGTGCTTTGGTATATGCGCACTTTGGCAAGCCGTATTTTAACCTTGAACATTATATAAATATCGGATTATAAACAACTCTGTTAATTAAGAATGCAGTTCCCATACAGTGTGAGCAAAAGAAAAAAGAAGCTTAACCGCCGCAAAAAGTATTCAGCAAGCGACGTGCGTATTTATGCATGTGTAGAAGAGGAAGTTAGAAGTAAGCGCAGCTGGGCTTGGGTTCTGTCTGTGGGCAATGCTAATTAGCGCACGTATACTTTTTTTTTATATTTATTTAAAAGAAAGCCTTTATGCTTTTGTTTTATACATTTGAAGTTCATTTAAAGAAATCATCAAGTCGTCATTTGACAAATTTATTAGTTTTTTTTTTTTGGCATTCAATACAACAAATTTTCAAATAAAATATGTATTAATTCTGGGGAAATTCTCTACAGTCACAAGGGGTCTATAGCATGCTTTCGTTGGCTTCTTCTTGAACGATAAATGAGTGTGAATTCCTCTCTTAGCTGCTTTGTTCAGATGAAATATATTATTTCCAGTTTTAATTAAAATTTTAACAAACGAAAATGTGTTTGATTGCCAGTTGTTGACTTGCGTAAAGGGGAAGTCTCTTTGTCTTGGCCTCTTTTGTGTATTATATTTCAGAATAAGAAATATTTTAATATTTATTAAAATTTATTTAAGGTGAGACTGACATTCGCTCAACTGAACATTGGCGACTCTAAGCACTGAGGATATTTCAGGCAAAGGTCATTGAAATTAGTATTACTCAAAAGTAATATCGATATATCCATGATGGCTTAATATGATCTACATTTAAACAGTCAAATTGTATTGGAATGATCGTTGATGCTGGTTCAAACCCTTGACTTTTGTTATATGAGCCTTAGTAGCCAGAGGTCTGATTGATTGCTGATTGGATTTCAAACTGACATTTTAGTGTAGTTACCTTAAAACATCTTACCTTAACATCTAAACGGACCGAAATTTATTACCAAACATGTCTCATATGTGTTTTACACATTTTTTGGATATGCAAACCTCACGTGTGGAAAATGGTAGCCAATCAATATTCATTTCATTCAAGCATATTTTCACTTACGCAAACTTTTGTTTTATTTTTTTTTTTATTTTAGCGAGCAATGGAAATAAATGAAAAATAATGTATGCAAAGTCGAGCTCTTTTTTTAAGTGCCATTTCGTTTTTTACAGTGTATAGCTGGAAAGCACACCACAAGCTGGCGTAACAAATGCAAAACGCATCGAAGTTCAATTAAATATGCTAAGCTTGAACCAAATTGATTTGTTATAGGCAACATTTGGAAGCATTTCGAGTTGGCTTCACTTGCAACGACTAGCAGCAGCTGTGGCTGCAGCAAATTGTGTGGCTGTTGCAGGGGCAAAGACAGAGGCAGAGACTGCGGCCTGGCAATGTATGCAAATGAAAGGCGTCTGTTTGCCAACGCAGACAACTGACTGTCTGTCTGTCTATCTGAGGGGAGTATGGGAAGGGCTAGATGGGGCTCTTAGTTAATGTTGTTGTTAAATTGTGCATTGGTTGTGTGTGCGGGTGTGCGTGTGTTTGTGTCTGCGGGCGTTTCAACTTTAATTGAAATTAGTGCCGAGTTTTCGATTAAGTCCTGACTCGCATGTTTGAACAGGTTCAGTTTGCTGGGGAGTTGGGTGGCAGGCTGGTTGAACAAATGTTAGGTTATGTCTGCGTAAACCCTATGTTGACTGTGACCAAATTTGAGTTGCGTCAAGTTGACAATCACTTTGGGAACTTAACTTTGATGTACTTTTTACACAAGGTCGGTTCCGAGGCAAACAATTTAATGGAGCTGGGAAAAGAGTGCGGCCACTTTATGGACACAACTACTATATACATCTGGCAGGTATCATTTATTAATGCCGTAGATGAGACCATAAAACTTTTGGTTCTGCATGCTGCAAGTGGCAATAATCAAATAGCAAAAGTTTTCGCAAACTAACCGCAAGGCGCAAACTTAGCTGGAACCCTATGCGGCTATCATGGGGTTGGCAGCAGTCTCAGTAAGACCCCAGCTGCCTATTTTAACTTTTATTTGCCCAAGGTAAGCAAAAGGGTAAATGTTTGAAAAGGCTAAATAAAAAACAGAAGAGTACTTTTTTGGCATGCCGAAGCTTAAATGATCTTAAAGGCATACGACCTTACAACAATTTATTTAACTTATTTCGATTTATCAATTTCGACCGGTTCTTTCTATAAAGCTATACTATATAGTAGTGCGATGTTGCTAAGATTTAGCTTAAAAGTTGTTTATACAATATTTATGTTTTGTAGACGTCTTCTATGCGTAACACATTTCACGACAGGCTTCTAATACTCACTTCAAGGGTATACAAATAATTCAATCTAAAAAGTCACTTAAGCCCTTGGCCCTTACGAGCATTTCAATGAGTGCCAACGTGTCAGTTGTTTCTATTTAAATGCGCAACACATGTCGCAGAAGTTTGTCGCCTCTTGCAACCCTTTCATTTTTTCTTTTTTTTGTGGAGCACTCACTAATTTTGCATTACACACACGGCGTATACGTAATTTTTGCCTGACTGACACATAAGTTGTCACGCCTGAATGTCTGCCGCACCGGATGCAGCACCCGGGCACACATTATCATCATTGACATAGTCGTTGTCATCAGCATTAACGTTAGACATATTATTATCTGACTCTACTTTTTTGCCTTGTAATTTATGTTTTTTGCTCCCTAACGTTTTTTAATACCCGTCATAAGTGATTTGCCTGGGAGGATCATATTAGCTATGTGAAGTGGTTTGAAATGCTTGGGAAGAGACACAACCGATTACATAATATTTATTGCTAAGAAATATGAGATAAAAGGGATATAAGTTAAAGGGCGCATCAAATTGGGGCTTAGCTTAATTGAATTGGGGTAATGGACTTTTTTTCGAAAAAGAACTTAGAAATATTTCAAAATTTAGTAGCATGTAAAGTAAGTAGCGGGAATACCACTGCCTTGCCCGTGCCACCAGTAAAATAAATTCTCTCAAGGATCTTTGATAATGTTTTTGAAGCCGATCGAATGGTAAGGAATAAACTTTCATACAACCCTTTTTCGCTGATTAACCACTGTTGTGGGTGCAATTTTCCAAATAGCTGAAATACGTATTCATTAAGTCATCGAGCTTTATATCGAGCTTTAAAAAGGGTTTGGTGCAAATCGGACAAAAATCAAAAGTTCAGCAAAAAAGTCTTTGAATCGCAATTTTTACCGATTAAGCTTCGTTTTCGCGAAAAGTGTAAGGCACGTTTCAAATGATTTATCATACAGATCCTTGGAAATGAATTTCCAATTCCAATCCCAATTCCATCAAGGAGAATGTATGAGAATTGAGAAAGAGTTTATGTTCTATAATTTGTATAAATTTATTTACATTATTGTTATTTTTTATCAGCATATTAAGATTTTTTAGAATTTATCAATATTCCGTAATTATAGAGTCCTAGAAGAAGCTTTCATAAATTTTATTTGAATCAAATTTATTTTTCCATTTACCGACAAACCGCTCTGATTATTTTTAGATGCTCGATTAATAGCTCCAATAAAAATAATAATAATAATAAATAAAGTCTGGAACGTGGCTAAAGCTTAAAAGGTATTCCAAATCAGCTTTTTATCTGCAAGAGCATTTAAGCTTCGGCATGCCTAAAATAAATATTACCTATTTTATTCCCTCTTTCCCCCTGGCCTACTGACTTAAACGCACAACTAGCAGCAGCGGCAGCAGCAGTAGCTTTGCCTCTGACATTTTGTCGTCGGCGGCTCATCGCAATCATAATTTCCATCTTTATGAATTTTTAATGAGAAAAGCCGAACTCGAACTGGAAGAAAAAGCATTAACAGCAGCAGCAAGAGCAGAAGAAGAAGCCTGTCACTTGCAATTTCAACTAAATTTTGTATGAGGCTCAAACGCAATGGCCTTGAAAAAGGACAGGATGCGACGGCCAGGCTCAGGCTGAGGCTCAGGGTCGAGGCCCAGCCCCAGGATCAGAGTCAGTCGAGAGATGATGTTGTATTTAGTTAGGCAAATATTTATTTGATTGGTTTCGGGATTCGCATTTGTGTGTATTTGAAATGTAAGCAGCGCGAACAGAAAACCAAATTGTGCGAGAAAAAAGCACGAGAAAAAGAAATAACAAAAGGCAGTATATAAGTATAATATATATTGATGGATGCGAATTGGTGCGGAAATCCAAAGAAATCTACAAGCAGGCATCAAATGATAAATGAGTGTGGCACGATTGCAAGTGGCCCAAAGCGGCACAGGCAGGCCTAATTAAGGGCTCATTAAAGTTGCATTTCGCAGCTGGTCAAAGCGGCCTTTGAATGAATGCATGAGCGTTGAATTAGTGAATGCAATCCCTTAAATTAATTATGGCTGCAAAAGTTAATTAAAGGGCCAAACGTGGCATAAGCAAAGCACTCAGCTTTGTCTTCAATATGGAATCGAAATATAACTTGAAGAGCTTCAAATTTTAAAGAGGATACAACAAAATGAACGCCAAGACTGGCGACCTGCGGCAACATCCTGCTCAAATAAGCCGGATGTGAAGTATAAATAAAAGCTAAATAGAAGAAATGAAGAACATTTTTTAGAGAGCAGCCAGGCAGCAGCTGCTGGGTTAAGGGTTGGCTGTGGGGGCAACCGGATGCTTAGAGCAGACAGTGTGACGAAAGTATTGCTGGCATCTTTTTTTTCCATTTTATTTATTTCTACTTTTCTTTTTTAACTAAAGCCAACGAAGCATATTTAATATGGTTTCCTGTTGGACAGTCAAGATTATTTATTCCGTGTTTCCAAAAAGGGAATTGGGTGTATATTAGATTATGCAAGTTTTTTTTGCGACACCATAAAGGAAAGCCGAAACGTATTTGGAAACTGGTTATATGCAGCTTTTGTTATAGTTATTTTTATTTAATAAAGATCTTTGTGAAGACGCTCTACAAGATATAAGCAATCAGGCTTTTACATCTTTTTGATAAGAATATCGATCGTTAAACACTTTTTTTTCTTCTAATGAACCATATTTAATTATATTTTCAATTCGTTTTTTTCTCTGGAAAAAGATCGGCATGGGTAAATTATAATGTTTGAACATTTCAATGGTAAAATTTAAGCCTTGTTTGAGCAAAAGACGACCTATACCTTTTTCAATTAAGGCTTTCACCCAATCCCGCCGTCGCTTTTTTAAGCCACAAGACTTTTTCCAGGTATTTAGTATTGTTATTTAAGTGTCAACAGAGCAACTCGTAGTCGAAAACATTTATTCTTAAGCCACCCCAATTCTGTGCTCCTAAGACCTTAATTTCAATCTCTTGTGCTGCCTGCATTCGTTATGAATGCAAATGAGCTGCTGACCGTAACAGAAATGTGATTTATATAAATTATGAGAAATGTGCTTAAGAAACATTTCGTTTACCCTTTTTAATTATTATTTGCAGGCAAAAGAAATGTTATAAATAAGGCAGAAGCAAGAGAATTGCGATAACTAATCAATGCTAATCCATTTCTAACGAGGCATCGTTAGGGACACACACACCCGCACACACCCACACACGCACACACACTTGTATGGCATCATCATCAAAATGCCTTTCTACTTGCAAGTCATGAAATTGCATTGTTGTTGTTCTTGTTGTTGTTGTTGTTGCTGTTATTGTTATTGTTATTGTTGGCATTTAACGATAATGTGCGCATATCGAGGCCATAAACAGACATTGAGAGCCAATATAAAATGGTCCGCCCACAATGCACAGCCCAGAGACACTTTCCAAAACAAATCTGTATGCAAGTCTACAAGCAGCTCTCGACATATTTGTTTCTCTAGCCTTATTTGTATCTGTATCTGTATTTGTATCTGTGTTTGCGCCTGGGTCGGCTCGTGGGCGTTTAATGCGATTCGCTTTGCCTCAATGTCATATACATTAACAAAGTTTTCGGGCTGAAGATAGACTTGAGTTATATCTGGCGAGGGTCGCTGTATAATTGTTAGCAATACGTATTTTCTCTGTGGCAAATTTTCAACATTAAAAATGTGCTGTTATTGACGCTATTATGTTAAGCATATGTTGAGCGTATGTTAAGGCCCTGTTAAAGATTGTGGCCGTGCAGTTATACTTTCTTGATATCAACATTTTACGTTAGGCATATGTTAAGCAGCTGTTAACGATCCTATCCCATTTTTTTTTTAAGCAATTATTAAACGGATGTTAATGATCGTGCAGCCAATTTTTAGAGTAAGTCCTTTGTTTCTACATACTCTTTAAAAGTTATCTAGACGAAAAATAGTTCTCAATATGGTATCGGAACTTCTGAAACTACCAAGGCTTCTTACAAAAAAGAATTTAATGTTAAATTTTGATGTCAGATATAAACAGGTAAAAGCTTACTTAACAGACTCAAGGACCTTATATACTTCTAAAGGCGTGAAGCCCAACTACCTTAAGTAGTTGTGTGTGTAAGTTATTTCTCTCTTGATTATATGATATAGTGGTAATACCTTTTTTATGCAATAATGTTTTCCTGCCATTTGTAGTTCTTAGCAAATTAAATTTTTCAAGTAATAGCGATTGAAATACTAGAGGCAATAGGAAAATTATTTCTTGAAAAAACATTTTAGGATTTCTTATATTAAAGTAAAATTTTAAGGCATTATTTTTAAGCTGCCCTCGCCAATTTTCATATATTTGCTGTTTGTTCCATGGCATCCTTTCTGCTACTGCGGTTGTTTGTTTATGCCAAATATTTGATATGAAAATATGTGTTAAATTCCAAAGCTGGTGCTCTTTCTTCCCAGCGCCCAGAAAGGCCCGTTTTGTTGTGGTTCTGTTATACCTATCTGTGTATATACATATATATATATATGTTATAAAGATATATAGCAGGAGGCTGGCCAAACTTTTATAAACAAAAGCAAACAATTCGCTTGGCGCTGTTGACAATCCTTTGGCAGCCCCGCAAATGTTAGAGACGAGACTTGGGCTTGGGCTCAAGCTCGGCGTCTGCTGAAGTGCAGATATATATATGTTTAAATGTTTGCCATATTATGGCTTTTATATTGAGTTGTTTTGGACTTATCTAGTTTACTGCACAAGCAGCGAGGCTTTTGGGCAAACAGCATGAAAACTTGTACAGGATATGTGCGCTTGCTTTTATGGCCCGACAGCAAATCGTGTTTGGTTGAGTTTGCAGCGATAACACTTTAACAAATGGCGAACGTCTATGGGTGGGGCATAAAAATGATACATAATGCTAATTTTGTATAGCAGAGACATGGTTTTGATTTATGCAGTACAAATAAGCCTTGTAAATATGCCCATAAATTACGTATACGCAGCGTAATCGCTGAAGAAATGTAAATCATTTGTAAACTAACTTGTGTGGGCGTGTCCCATAGACACTAACTCCATTTTCTCTCTCCCTCTCTCTTACTCTAGCCTCTTTTGTGTGGTTACAGCAGTAAGAGCATTAACATAAATTACCTTGCACAACGATCCAGCGATGCCTGATGCCAACTTCTTCGGCCGCAATGTGGCAGCAGCAGCAGCAGTCACACACACACACACACACGCCCTTACACACGCAGATGCAGACAAGGATGCGAGCCAAGACAGCACAAATACATTGAAATGAAGTGGTTAAGTGGCCAAGTCACACACACACACACACACACACACGCAATCAGTTAGATAGTCGCTTGGCTGCTGAAGTCAAGGAGTTGCACGTAGATTTACAGTATATTTGCATCCTTTTGCATATCCTATGCATCTGAGGGCGCCACAGGACCCGTTGCGGCTGCTCCCCCACCACTGCCACCGCCACCGCCGCCACCACCACCGCCGGTACTGCCGCTCGCCGAGGATGTACGTGAGACACTGGCATGTCCCATGCCCATGACCAGCCGTTGCGTTGTGGCCGTTGGCGTTGTGGGCTGCAGCTGCGGCGAGTCGAGGCTGCCATTGCCGCTGCTGCTGGCATTTAGTGCGCTGGTGGCACGTGTCAGGAACCAGCAGTCCATCGGCGTCGGCTTGCCTTTCATGATGACCGGGCCGCGGTACTCCAGATTAAATGAATCATCCTCGTTGATCTCCTGGCACAGCAGCCTGAAAAAAGGGAAAAACATACAAAATACAAAATCAGCAATCAAAAGTTTGGTCTACATAGTCGTCTTGCTTCAAGTGTATCATTAAAGGACAGTCGCGTGCAGCTGCCTCGACAGTGCTTGGCAGAGATTTGAATTACTACCACTTCACATTCGCAGCGGATGCGCCCCAGAGATAAAGACGGAGCCCACAATTGACGGCAATTTATTGCAAGCACTTGGCTAATGTATGTCAACATATAGACGCACATACATACGTATACGTGCACCCGGGCAGCTTCTCAAGTGCTAGCCTTGGTTCGTAGATGATGGTAAATGATTTCGGAAGCATTGCATTTTCGACCGCAGCCCAAAAATAGTTTCTATCCTTGGCTGAAAATTCAAATGTTATATGGCTCTACTAGTCTGTGCCCGACTAGTAGATACCCTGAACCTAGTGTCGTGCTGCCTTTGCATCTTCCTCGCTTTGCCTAACGCTTTGGTATTCATTCATTCATGAATAACTTCTGTATTTATGCTTCGATATTAATGTTATTTTCCAATATTTATGAAATCTTGACACACAATTGAAAAGTTGAATGGCAGAAAGCAAAATATTGTGCATATGCGAGACTATGTCAACCAAATCTTGGGCCTCTATCTCTTATAAGCTCCGATATAGTTTAGAGACACAGTATTTCAATAACGCTTTTAAATTTGTATATCGATTTCTATGAAACAATTTCTTGGGTGTGTTTTTGATTAATATTAACCGGATTTCTTTTAACGTCTCTTAGTTTGACGCGTTTCCAAATACTAAGATGGATGGACATCAACATCGACTCAGTTTGTCGAGAGTCTTCTTCTTCTGTCTGTTGCACATATATGAAGATATTGTAAAAGTACCATTTTCAATAGACGAGTCTAATTAGGTGTAGAAAAAATTGTTTTGTTCCATATAAAAACAATTTGAATGGAATCAATTATTAATAAGCTTCATTCCAAGACAAATTGATTTCAATTTCTTAATGAAGCCAATAACTTTAAGAATTTAATTTTATTATTATTATTATTTTTTTTGTATTGTATCGCACTAAACATTACATTATATATTATATTGCACCGGCGGCTCACCATTTATTCTTATAATTGTAATTTTTGCTCACATTTTCAATTGCTTTGCATGCATTATAGTTATTTCCTGTCATTAATTTATGCAGATTTTTGCATTGTGTGTTTTTCCATTGAATTTATCACCCTATTTTCCATTTTCACCCCATTTTATTTTATATTTTTCTGAACAGAGCATAATATTAAATTTGTCTGGCTGCGTACGTGGCGCATGCTGCGGTCGCATTTCCGTTTCCGTTTCGTGCAGCCACAACATTTTATATAAATACGCTAGACAACAAGTGCACGCGTGTGTGTCTGTGTGTGAGTCAGTGTAGGGGTGCATTGCATCATGTACTTGATTATAGTGCTCAATAACTGATTGCATACACATTTAATTCAATTTATTTGGCAGTTTTTCACAGCTCGCCACTCGGTTTGCGTTTCGGCCACAAATTCAATGGACCGCCCTTTAAATTAATGAAGCATTCGTTTGGGGAAATCGCATTAAAATCGCAGGTAATATTTATGACTTTTACGTATTTTAATGAAGTGCACTTAATGATGCACATTGCACTCAGGCAAGAAGACGTTAAGCTCTTACCATTCGTGTACCCTTTACACATAAAATATCTGCTATGGGACATAATTAAGATATGCAAAGCTGCTACCAGTCTTAATGTATGTTAGAGACCAACAAACGATGGCATTCAGTCCATCTTTATAAGCTGATCGTACTGGAAGAGACTTTAAGAACTAGGTTAAATATTAAAAATCTTTTTACAAATTTGAAAATTGGGGTCAAAGAATCTTTTGAACCAAAATGTGTATTCATGGAACTAATTGGAGCGATTGGCTTATACTGTAAGCCAAACTATAATAGTTAACTGAATAATTTATATAATTTTTCTTTTAAATTTCCTCTTTTTATACAATTAACTACATCATGTTTAAACTGTGTACAAATTACAGAGTATATTGGAGTCTTCAAGTCGCGCATTTTTGTTCGTTTCTGCTTATTCAACTGATTAAAGGGCACCATCCACATAAAATGGGACAATCAACCACTCCGTCTTGTTCTGGCCCAAGTGAATGGGTTTAATTAATGTCTTCATTAAAATACACATTTGCACAGTGGGTAATTTTCAGAGTAAATATTATATATCTATATGTAAATACAACGCGAGCAATATGAATATTTAAGCTCCGTAATTGATATGCAAGCGTTATAGATACAGAAAAGCAAAAATAAATACTCGAATGGATGGTAAATATTTTCATATTCTTTTATGTTTAATTGCATATAATGGCCTCTCTCATATCGCTCTTGAATTATTTTCAAGACCCGCAATTCAATTATCATATGCAAATAAATAAAAGTGTGTTAAAAATTATAAAAAAATTATTAAAATGCAACGGAACTAAAGGAATTCTGTTTATAAATTATACACAACAGCTGATTTTATTTAGCACTTAAATTAATTAAAATATCTATCTATCTATCCCCAATCTAATTCACATGTGCAAATAAAAACAAAATTGAAGTAGAAAGTAAGTGAAAAAATTCTTGAAGGTTCTATAAAAGTTTAAATAAGATTGGTATTCATCGATTTGTACAAAAGATTTTCCCTTTTCGGGGCATTTTTATGTATCTATTTAATTCATCTGTGGATCAGATTTTTTTTCAATTTTTGCTGAGTTTTTGAAGTTAAGCCCCATGTGCTTTATCTGTTATTTTTTGTCATATCCCATTTTTAAAAGCCATTTATTATTTCCTTTTAATTCCATTTTTTAGCAATGAATTAGTTCGAAATGATTTTTTTTTAATTTTTACTTGTATTGTATTCATTCGATCAATAGGTATACATAAGTTTAAGCCTTATATTACATAAATATTAAAAATTATTAAATAATTTCGAACTACACTCGTAATAAAGTAAATTGTTGCTTAAAGCAAATATCAGAACGGACAGAGGCAGTGAGCAAGAGAGTGAGAGAGAGAGGTACAGAGTTCTAGAGTGTGTGAGAGACCAGTTTCTAATGGTGGGTTGCCAAGAAGAGAGCCGAATAGACTCATTGAGTGGGAGAAAGGTAAGAACAGCTGAGCGTTAGGCCTGAAATTTTACATATATTGTTTGGGGCAGCTATTCAGTTGCTTAACGGCGTTTGAACAGCGCGAATTATTGTATTGTTTGGCGCGTTCGTTCGATAATGCCTTAAAGAAGCGAGTTTTTGATACCGAATGCTACGAAGCTGCATAAGACATGTAATTTTAAGTACTATTTAAAAACTGTTCAAATTCAATTGTTAAGCACGACAAGCACAGGTACCTGTTTGCTGGCCATAAAATATTTAAGAGAACACCTAGTCGGCATTTGTAAACAATGTGATATGATAACAAGTATTAGAACTAATCGAATATGCAATTTGACTTAGTTGAATGCACGCGGATTTCCATGAATTGATTAAATGTAAATACAGCACATACTACAAATACATACATACAGTGCGAATAGTTTGTTTGTTTACAATTTTGCTTTTGTTTTTACCGTATTGTTTTTGTTTGTGTGCGTATTGTTGCCAACACGAAAAAAATCAATATGGAGAGCGCACATAGAGAGAGAGAGAGAAAGAGAGTGAGAACGCGTGCTCGCTCACATTCGCCCGCACTCTCTCTCTCTCTCTCTCTAACTGTGCTGCTCACCCTCTGTCTGTTCGCATGTGAAGTTTACCTTCCTTGTTATTTGCTTCCGTGTGCCGAACTTTGTTTAACGTATTTTTGTCTATTCAAAATTGGTTTTATTTGAATGTGAATTTCTTCTTGAATTAAATACTAATTTATTGTTGTTTTTGTTGTTATTTATCTGCCAACATGTTGTTGCAGTGGTTGTTGGCATTGCAGCAGCTCGTAAGTCAATTAAAACGGCAACTGGCTTCGGTTTGGCTGCTGTCATTGCCGCAATACTTGTACGGCTTCCGGCCATTGGTCGGGCCACGGGCGGCGACAAGCCGAGCCAGTCACCAGCGCTGCGGCAAGGCGCCGAGACGCCAACTGGTCATGGACTACATCTTCGAGTGCTTCTTCAATGACACCTTTGAGCGTATCACGCGGAACGGACTGCAGGATAGACAGTCGCGTCGCGATGTCCTCGATCACCTGAGCGCCATCATCAAGGGCTGCTCTGTGGGCCAGAATGTACAGACCGAAGAGGTCGCCAGCATGGCGGTCATTGAAGCTTTGCGTTTCCATCGACTGGCCAAGCAGGGCAACGGCAATGTGAGATTTACGTTTTACGATTTACATATTTTCATCATGGCTTTTGAGTTATTTTTGTTAATTTTCATTCAATACTTTGGGTTAGTTTGTGTGCAGCGAACTATAAAATATTTGCTTTTCGCATAATATGAGAAAAGCTGCCGCAACTGCCTGACTTTCTTGCGTCTTATGGGAGAATAATAATAAAGGTTTTCCATAAATTTATGAGTAGGGATGCTCAACGACTAAAGCGATTAAATTGATATTCTCTGAAGCATAAGGGTTTTGCGTGTTTCCATCAAGTTTGATCAAGATATCTTATGAAAAAAATGAATTCATATAGAGAACTTATCCGAGCTCTCTTTGTCACCTATTTAATATAGCTGTCCGATCTGGTCGACTATGACAATATAGACCTGACTATTTCGACTCTTCCGTCGGTAATAATCAAGAATATAGATCTGCATGGATTTTTTGGAACTAGTTTTGAACACATTCCGTAAGGGTATGCAATGTATCGAAAATAAGCCGACTTAAATATATATTTTAAAATATTTACTAAATAATTATCATTTCAAAAGCCTAATCAATCTGTTATTTACCTTGTTATCGATAAGACCCAAGCGATAATATCAGTGCTGTAAAGTAAGGTGCGC